ATTTTTGCAATCTTTGTAAACCGATTAAGATTAGATTAAGATTAGACTTCGCCACATCCAGCTGAGTCTAATGCTTCACAAAGGTTTAAAGGATCATTACGTGTAACTGAGCGGGAATTTCTCTGTGTTTGCTTCTGATAAGACGGTTTGAAGCAAAGCGCCAGGTGGCATCAGATCAGATATCTCCGTAAACAAAACCTTATTTTTTCCAGGTGATTGCAAACATGAATGCAGCCTACAAACTGGAGAAGAAGAAGAAGAAGGCAAAGCGCAGGATGCAGAGCGCCTCCCCGGCTACGCTGAAGGTTACAGAGCCCCTGTTTGCTGCAGGGGACTCACCCCCCGCCAAAAAAGTCAAAGACAGCTTGTATCTGTCCTTTCCTGTGGAGACGGTGCTGGCCACCGAGCCGAACGGCGCCGAGGGCGTGAAGACGGAGCTGGCGTACCGCCTGGCTCAGCCTGACGTCCACTGATGATGATGATGCTGACTGAACAGTGTCATTTAAGGCTGAAGCTCAGAGATTCACCTCCACCTTCTGCAAACAGACACCTTCTCAGACTGAATGTGATGGACCAACACAAAGCAGAGCGTCAGCAGGAAGGGGAGGAACATCTATTGCTTTTATTTCTATAAAAATAAAGTTGAAAAGGAGATGCAGCGGTTGAGATTTGCACTCCTGTCTCTTCTGTTCCTTTAAAGCAGCTCAAGATCTGATTTAGTTAATGAGGCGTCATGAATACTGACACCTGCTGGGCGTTTAAAGACACTACAGGCAACCTCTGAGACTAAAATGAAATAATTTGATGGACTTGTCCAATAATATAATTGAAGTAATTGTGTGTTATGTTGTGTTATTTCATATCTACAGTTAAATTAAGAAAATCTTTGATATTTTTTTGATGCTGCCAATAAATAATGTGAACACATATATGAATATTTAGGTGAAAAATTGACTGAGGATGCTTGTGGACTTGGATATAATTTTAAAACAGTAATTAGAATGTAAAAAAGTAAACTAAGAGGCAATTTGAACTTAACTTTAGTTCAGATAAATTGGGTGATAACTGAGAAGAACAAGATGACACAATGAAAGAAAAAGCTCCTGTATCTTAGACGACTTTTATTGTCATAATCTTATACACAGAGTGTATGCAAAACAAAATGTCTTTTTGTACAGCTTTCATGACATTTCCTTTTCATAAACAAACAGTGTGGGAAAACAGACATGGTGCAGCTGATCCCAGGCTGTTCTCTACATCCAGTCTGTTCCCCTGCTTGGGTCAAAGCTCAAGGTGAATTAAAGAAAAACTTTTTTGGTTCATAAAAACTTTTAAATCGGTTCCTCACAAAGCAGAAAAGATCTTATTTTACTACCTGTAACTCCAAAGTGACAACACTGGCACAGCTTCCTTTAGACGAGCTCTTTATTAAACGCCTTGAAAACTACAGAAATAGAAGTTTTAGATATCGATACATTTACAGACAATCAGGTGACACTGGCTTTAACAGAAGCTACCTCGTGACCGCCTGCCACATTTAGAGGTCTTTAACAGTTTAATTTTTCCTCTTCCACTCTAAATTAAAATATTAAGTAATTAAAGAAAAACCATAACCAAATAAGATTGCAAAATATTACAAACATAACTACAAATACCTTGACAGCTACAGTAAACACAAGGCTGCTCCACATAGCTCTGTTCCAAGCTTCTGCTCCTTCTATGTTTATTCAAGTCGCGTTGCTTTTCACATAGACGCAAATCTCGCGATATCTTTCAACAAAAAATAGCTCAACACAAAAAAATAATGCAATCATATTGCACATTCAAACGTGAACCAAACACAAAATACATTGTCTTAACTATTAGAAATAAACATACATTTTTTCCAAGAAATAAATTACTTCCCTGACTCTTACACTACCTAAGAAATAAAAAATTTTCATGTACCAATTGCAATGCACTCCCTGACCACTAGGGGTACGCGGACCCCCGGTTGGGAATCATTGGGTTAGTGGTGGAGAGGGTCGCTGTCCATGGTGCTGATGATTCTATCTAAACTCAATGGACTGTCGAATGTTTCCTCTCTCCACTCACACCTGATCGGGTGGTTATGGTTTGATTATTTTAGTTAATTATTATTTTATTGAATGTTAAACACTCTGGGAGACGTTAAAGTTATTTTTTAAATTTCTAACTCATAAATGTTGACTTTTCTCTTAAATCTAGCAACATAAATAGGATTATATGACCTATTTATTTGATTATTTAAGGATCCCTATTAGTCTCTGTGAGAGACTGCTCTTCCTGGGGTCCATTTTTAACTGAAAAACATCACAATCAGAACATAAAACAAACTTACAGTAGAAATGGCATTATAGAAGAAAAAAAAACACTATGTCCTCCATAGTTTTTGGTTAATCTGTGGAGACGTATGTATAATTACTGTCTGACAACCGCTGATTATTTAAATCAGTGGCGTTTTGAATTAAACTGAGTTTACAAATTGTTTTAAAAAATTCAATTTATTCTAAAAATCCAATTGTGATCAGAATGTCTCAGCATAATATTGTTAAATAATCTGGGAGGAGCCTTCTGAACGTTATTACCACCCACAGATCCTCTATAGGCGAGATGCACCACCCGTCCTGGCAAAGAAAAGTCCTGTGGACTGAAGCTGGTTTCTCTGAAATGGGATCTAGAATCAGTTCACTTTTCTAGGCAAGTTGGAAAAGCTGCTTGTAAATCACAAAACATTGTTTTCCATAAAAGAAACGTGTTCACAAATAGTTTTTACAGTGACACAGTGTGTGCCTCTGCTTTAGGGGATTACAACCTGTTAGTGATAAAGAGTTTTAACCGGCAGATTCCAACATATTTTAGAAGTATGACCTCCGTTTGCCTAGTTCTGCTCTCAGTTAATATGCTGCTATAGGCTTAGACTGCTGGAGGACATA